GGTCATCAGAAGTGATTTGATGAATAGACTGTGAAAAGCTGTTTTAAACCTAACAATCCAGAAAGGGGGCAACTTCCCCCGGATTGTTAATGGAAAAGAAAAACGTGACAGCAGAAAAGCATGCAGTAAATAATAATTAAAATGAGCATGAAAAAGGAATGGTTGAATAACTAAAGCGAACTCGCTACTTTCAGGAAAAAATTAAGACACTGCTGGCCTAACCAGGCTCCGAAAAAAGTGCTGCACCTCAGAGAAGGCATTCAAGGACCAAAATAGTATCGTTTGAGCACGTAGGCACTAAATACTCAATTTTATTTCAGTTAAAAATTCGGTTTTTTTCCCAGACATAATTTGGCATTTCGCAAAACCAACTTATTAGTTAACTTTCTTCGCTTTTTTTTGATTGGATTTTGCGCCTTTCAAATCTGCTATCCACGCAGTGAGAATTCTGGCTTCCCCCTCTCCTTCTGCTGACAGAAGAAAGCTGGATGGTTTTTTCCACCTAGATACGCCACTGCAAGTAACTTGCCCACCACGCAATAACGCAGCGTAATGAATGCTAACCTGTTGAACAGAGAGAGATCTTCGATGCTGCGCGATCTAAAAAAAATACATTAAGTGCTCGCAAAAATGCAATTTTTTTTTTGACACAGCTAAGCAGAGACGAGTGCAGCAAAACACAACATACAAACAACAACGGCAGAGAACTGACAATAGCATCGTGTTTCTAGCAATAGGACAAAATAACCAGAAATCATATTTTAAGATGCAATTAAATTTCTCGCTACTAGAATGCAACTACTAAGCGTATCAGTGGCGTAGGAAGCGAAGCAACTCTCTCACCTCAAAAAAGCTAATACCAGTTGTGCGCATTAAGAAATGCAATAAAATATGCAGATGGGCGTTAAGCTTCGTTGCAGCTAAACACGGATACTAAGCTACGCTGCGAAGCAAACCCAGGCTGGAACGCACCCAGTTCGGTGCGATCATGCGTTTTTGCACTAAACTCGCAGGTTGCTAATGGCAGGAACGACCCCTGCGATATAACCTAACACGTGGGCTCATATTGGCCATGTTTTGGCCCCTTTCGCCATACAGAAGAAAGGGCGTCGGTTAGAACGAAGGTGGTGTATTATACAGCCGCACGGACCTCCAAGTACATGATTACCGGTTTCTTGCATGAAACCCGGTCGTTTTTTCGGCAAATGCTCGCTTTTTGGAAAAATGACAAGTGCTAGTTTTTCGAAAAAATGCAAA